ATTTTCATGGGCAACAGGTATTGAGTGCTTGCTGTGTGCTAGGCATTGAGCTTTCTTTGCATTATCTCATTTAATTCTCTGAAGAAGCCCATGAAGATGTGAATTTTGTATTTGTAGATAAAGATTGAGTAATAGAGATGTGAAGTACCATGTTCAAGGTAGAATGTAGTGGAGCCTCTGGCCCTGGGAAAGATTCCAGAAAGGCAGCTGGCAGAAAGCTAAGGGGTCTGTCCATGGATCAGGACCAGCGGAGCAGGCCAGGGTCCATGCTGGTGGTGAAGATGAGTGTAGAGGTCTACTCTAATTTGTATGTCTTATGCCGGTGTGGGGCTGTTAGTGTCCATCCATTCCTCTGCTGCAAGGTCCCACATTTCCTCTGCTGAAGGTCATTTCACCCTACTGATGAAATTTCCAGTTGTGGGGGATAAAGTGCAGTGATGACAACTTTTTTAGTTTTGCCAAATAAGATGGGCAGAGTAGTGGCTGCTCACTGGTATAATAATCTGTGAGAACAAGCATTTCTCCCCACCAGCTCTCATTGGGCAAGTTCCCCAGGAGAAATTCAGTCCTTTGAGTCTTAAAGGGTTTCTGGCTTTCCTATAGAGAAGACAAATACTGTATCTTTATAAATATAGTTCTGTTCTCCAGTGCCTTCAGGGGCTAGGCAGGTAATTCACTTTTGAAAGAGATGGAGGAAGACAAAAAAAGGTGAGTTGTTGCTATGGTAACCTGCGGGCCTGATCACCAGGTCCTTGTGAATAAACACTGACAAAAGGCACAGCCACAAGTCTGTAGGCCACAAGTCTATGGGCCACTAACTTGTAACTACAATTGTAGGGTCACATCCCTACCTTCTGCTTGATTATTAAAGTATATTGTAGAATATGTGGGAAATGAAAATTGTAGAAATATAAACAAGCAGATAAAAGCAATACTCACCTCATCCATTAAGTACTATGGGTATCCTGGCACATTCCCTTCCAGTTATTTAAAAATTTTTTTTTCTTTTTACCTAATATAAAAATCTGCCTCCATAGGGAATGCATGAATGAAGAACATTTCAACTTCAGTTAGAGATACTTGTGGTTAAAATAAGGCTATCACTAGACCACATTTCAGATTGGGAATTAGCTACATGTAAGGCCCTCAGAGGACATAACCTAGGGAGAGAAGATGAGTAGGAAAGGCTGAATTGGAGGTGAGAAAAAAAATAAATTCCATATTATTCATGGATTTGCAGAGGAAAGCAGATCAAAGTCTTTAGGGAGGAGGTCAGTAGAGAGTGGTAGGTGGGGCCCAGGGGTCCCCAGGAAGCAGGGAGTGTCTGTGAGATGGGTAGGTGTTAGAGATGAATGGTTAAAATTGCAGGCCGTGGAACTCCTCTCTGACAACCCATCCTCCTGTAGCTCTCAAACAGCTTAGGGAAAACAATCTACTTAGGGAAAAATACAGAAAAAATGTCCCCAGGAGGTCTTAGGAAGAAGCCATTCCATAACCTGAGTTACCTGCTGAGGAGCAGGTCTTGTTCAGAAGATGCTGGGACACCTGGAGTTCCCTCCTTCACTCCCAAACTCTGAGCTCCCCCACAACAGGATGCAAAAACTCACATTTTCTTCTTGATATTTCCCTTGCTCTGAGAGGCAGTGTTTTCCTTTCAAATCTTCCAGAACTCCACCATGTTGCCGATTGCAGCAACCCTCATTTCATTCTCCACATTTTCTCTTCCTGAGTTTGATACATCTCTTCTTGGCGGGTGTTAGATATGTATTGACTTTTACAAAACTTCCGGAGCCATTTGCAGAGAAGGATTGACTGGTATGGGGTCAGGGAGGGAGGCGGGTTAGCAATTTCAGGTGTTAGTAAACATGTCAGCTTGGTGGGGATTAACAGGGACGTCATGAATAAAATCACTGGGATTTGATAAGGGATTTTTCTCTCAGATAATTAAAGTTTATTTTTTCATTAACCCCTTTTCCTCACCAAAAAGAGAAGGGGGAGGAGGGAGGGAGAGAGAGAGAGAAAAAGTAATGGATGGTCATTAGGATAGCGCATTATCAGTCCTTAGTCCTTAAAATAGATAAAAGACAAAAGTCCTTGACCTTGCACTGCCCACGGCCTTCTGGGTACCATATTTGCCTTCGTGGCACCTTTTCAGCAGGTGATACTTTCCTTTAATGCTTCGTACTTAATCCTCAATTTTCTTTTAAACATCAGATATTGGATAGGCTGGAACATCATTTAGGCAGTAAAGAATTCTAGAGCTTTGTGGCTGGGACCAGCCAAGAAGAGAAATATTTTTGATACAGAAGAATAATTCATTAAAGGGGGTAATGAAGGAGATTTAAACCTTCCACAAACACATCACTGGCTGCATAAAGCTCATCACTCTCAGTTCAGGGTCGTGGCTGAGTGGAATGTTGTAAGAGGAAAAAGTGTATAAAGTCAGCTACACAAATGGGTCAGGCAATCTCAGTGGAGCTCAGGGAGGCCTGCCAAATTAGAATTTTATAAACAAGCAAAAATATGTCATTAATATTATGAGAAAATCCCTCTGGAATAAAGCATTGAATTTCTGTGTTATTTCTCCCCCACTCATGTACATTTATGTAGTCTTAGGGGCAAATCTGACTTTGAGGTGAAATTTTGCATATCTGATTACAGCTCAGGGCTCCTCTCTCACACACATGGTACCAGAAACACAGATTGCCTCATAAATGTGAATGGTTTGGATAATGGAGTAACGTAACACTGAGACACCAGAGCTGAAAGATCTGGGTATTTCTGGCCAAGACTCAGCCAGTTAGTGTCCTGAAGTGCACCCAGCTTGTGGGAGCCCAGGTAGCTGTTGGATAGGTCTGAACTGGTGTGATGTCTAATCATTCAGGGAGGTGAATTTGAATAGTAGGTACCTTGTGCAGTTCTTGCTCTGTATTTCTTCAAAGATAATTTAAATCACTTCTTGAAAAAATTAGATCCCTAAGGTAAGGTTTTGTGGGAGGCCTCCTCCAGGAATATCGATGTGACACAGGGAAATCATAGTGTTGAAGGTTTCAAGAGGACTCTCAAAGCTCTTGGCTATGGCTTCTCATCAGATATAAAGAAGTTCTGTATGAGATCCCACTAGGTGGACTCATGACCCCCCAGATATTTTCAGTGGAGCCTATCCTCTTGTTGAGTAGCATTATCTGTGGTGACTTCCTTTCCTGGCCTGAGCCAGTCCATTCTTCTGTGATTTTTTTTTTCTAATGTGGTCTAATTTGATCATAAGCCAGGACAGCCACTCTGTAGGAGATTGCTGTCTAGGGTGATTTGTCAGATGAGACTCAGAGGGGACAGTACAAACTGAAGCACTTTTATACTCACAGATTCTGGGGAGAAGAGGGTGCCCCCAGAGTTCGTGAAAATTCTGGAGGAAGTTCAACCAAAGTTGTAGAGAAAGAGATCATGCGAGAGACCAAGTCTTTGTTAAGGTCCTGGGTTTTCCTGCAGTGGTTGTAGGTTGGCTAGTTTAAATAAACCTTCATGAAGAGAGGACTTATTTAATGAGTCTGAGGTTGGCCATTAGATTCCATCCTGGCTGTGAGTTGGGCTGGGCTTTGGCCTGTGGGTTGAGGAGTCAGTGGGTCGTATCTCAACAACACCTGGAGAGCAGAAGTTTCCATGAGGACAAAGCCTACAGTGTACGATGGGATTTCAAGCAATTTAAGTTAGGCAAATGGATGCCAAGGCAGAAAGTATATTAAACAAAATTGTGACATCTGCTGGGTTCGGGCCAACAAACCCCGTTAGAGAGATGAATGAAGACACTAGTGCCAGAAACTGTCTTTGCTGGGAAGCCACAGATCTTCACTCAAATGGAATGAAGCCCTGAACTGATTCAAACCCTCAGATTTATTGAGGTACAACAGAGGCATGGAGTTTTTCTGAATGCAGATGTTTGTTTCAGGTAGGAAGGCAGGCAAACAAGGCATGGTGACAGTTTGGCTGAATAATTAACTTCTATCTGATTGTACTCTCTGTGCTTTCTTATTTTTCTAGTAAGGTCCAGCTGTGCTCAAACTAGCAAACCATCCTGTCTTCAAGACATTTGGACTCCTTGGAGTGTGGAGGCTTCCACCTCCCAAGTCAACTAGAATAGATATCAATCCATGAAGTGTTACAAGGAACTCCACAGACAGCAACATATTTGAATATAACAGCTTTTCAAATATTGTGTCTCACTCAGTCTTCTTCCCTATCTAGCCTTGTTTGCTCAGTGGATCTCTAGATCTATTGAGATTCAGGGAGGAAGAATAGGAATCTAAAGGAAATCTATTTCTTTGTCTCTGTCCCTGTCCCCTTCCTCAACACTATTTTTCTTCCTGAGAGTAAGTTACACATAATCACATACTCCTATTTTGAATTTTCTCAAAACAAAGATTTTTTTTACATAACCACAGCTTATCAAAATCTGAAGATAAACATTGTTGCAATATTAGTAGCTAATCTGCAGACCTTATTCAAATTTTAGCAGTTGTCCAACTAATGCCTTTTATAGTAAGAGGAAAATTTGTTTTCTGGCATGGCACTAAATTATAATTATATATTGTACTTAGGTGTTATGTCTTTTAGTCTCTTCAGCCTCCTCCTGATTCCTTAGTCTTTTTTTTCCTTACCTCTTATAATCTTGACATTTGTGAAGACTATTTTATAGTGTACCCCTAACTTTAGGTTTCCTGATTTGCCTTACAATTTTATTCAGGTTATGCACTTTTGGCAGGAATACCATGGAAATGATGCTGTGTTTTTCTCAGTATTTCTTTTTGGGGACTCATTACAACTATTTGTCCCATTACTGGTGATGCTGACTTTGATCCATTGCTTAAGGTGACATCTGCTGGTATTATATCCTGGGCAGTCACTATTCTCTTTATAATTCTTGAATACTTTGCAGGAGACACTCTGAGACAGGTGTGCCCGCGCAGCCTGTGATTGACATGGCTCATTCTCTTTGTCTTCAGGGTCGAACAGTCGGAGGGCAGTGAACAGAGGCTATGTCATCAGCCTGCTCAGGCTGCATCAGGACTGGCACAGCCACGACACAACCAACGCCTATGTGCTGATCCGCCGGGGGCTTCTGCTGTGCCTCAAGCGCATCACCACCATCTGGTCTGGCAGGGAGGCCTTCCTGGCGGCCCAGGGCATGGAGACCCTCTTCAGCATCACACAGGTAGTCAGCGTGGGATCCCTTTTACAGCTGGGTCATGACAGCTGGATGATTCCTGAAGGCTGGTTCTCAGGAATTGTCCTGAACAGAGCTGGCAAAACTTCAATACATTTCTTTTTGCTTATGATGGCAGGTGTTCTGGATTCATATCCTCATTCATTGAGGATGAGCCTCATTGATTATGAATTAATTCTTCATTTATTCCATGAATATTTATTGAATAAACTTTCCCAGAAGTGCAGAATAATGTGATGTATTAAAAGTATGGGTCCTAGGGCCAGGGATTTAGCTCAGTGGTTCTACCACCTGTCTTGCAAGCCAAAGTCCCGAGTTCAATCCCTGGTACAAAAAAAAAAAAAAAAAAAAAAAAAATG